TCTATCCCAGAGAGAGTTGGTCAGATAGCTCTCGGGGTCCACAGGGCAGCAGATCGCCTCGGCAATCTTGAAGGCGGTCTGACAGCTCTCTCTACACCCTTATCTTTTATTAGCTTGCCCACTCTACTGCTTGGGCATGCTTTATGATAATTTCCCAATACCTGTTGGTTTAAAACCCTACCTGTACGTTCCCGATTACACTTCACTCATGCCTCTACAAGGTGACCTTTGCTACCTCTTTCTCCCCCAAAACAGAATTGCAAGTTTTAATTTAACCGTAGTCATCATCAGGATCCTGGTTTTCTCTGATTTTAAAAAAATCCCCAATTTTCGGATGGGGAAAAAAAGCTACCCCAAATCTACATTTTTCCATGATTAAAATGAAATGCTACTATATATATATATGTATGTCTGTGTGTTAGTGGTGTTTCATAGTTGTTAGGGGCTGAAAGGGAGCTTACAGATCGTTGGGTCCAGCTCCCCTGCATGTGGGCAGGAAAGATTACTGGGATCAGATGACTCCAGCAAGATGGGCATCATTTAACCCTGGAAAAATGTGGATTTGGGGTTATTTTTTTTCTATCTGAAAATTGGGATTTTTTTTTTAATCGGAGAAAGCCAGGATCCCTGATCATCATGACCTTTTTAACCAGGCCTGCAGATCTAGAGCAAACAGTTGATAAGCTTGACTTTTCTGACTCAATAGGACCTTGATAAGTTTCTGCAACTTAACAGTGAGTTCAGCCCTTGCTACTTATTGTGATGGAGGAGGGTGGAGAGGTGGAAAATGTAATTGGACGCTGACTGCAGCTCTTTGGCCTACAGATGACGGGGTCAGAGGTGCTGAGATTTTATTGCCCAGCTGGGGCACTCAGAGAGAGATTATGATCAAAACTGTCAGGTGCCAAACTTGACATGCCTTGGGCTTTGGCTTTTCAGCATGCTCAGCTCCAGTTGACTTCCACTGTAGCTAGGAGCATTCAGCACTTGGGCAAATCATCGTCTCCTGGCTGTCTTAGAGTGGGCATCCAGGGAATAAAGAAGACAACTGATGCTCTTTGAAAAGTCTGGTATCAGTGACCCTTGACCCATAGTTTGGGGGCTGTCTGGGACGTCGTATAAGAACTCTGCAGTGGTGACAGGAGTAGAATCCAGTCCTCTGGGTAATAGTTGGTTTCCCTAACTGTGAGCCCAGCCTCGCTCTTCACGTTGCTCCCATGCATTACATATCTTTTAGCTTCGGCAGCAAATGGGACAGGCATGCAACAGAAAACAGCCTCATTTCTTTATGCGACCCTGATTCTTTCCCAGACTGTCTGTCCTCTTCACCGAGTGAGGCAGAGGTCCGTCAGGAGTGGGGAATAGTTGCGTGCTTGCTGACTGCATCATACCTATGCACAACAGTAATGTTAATTTTGGCTCTTGCTGATTCTCGGGCATCTGACTTCGCAAGCTTAATGCTATGTCAGCTTTTCATGAGATTTCCTTTATTCATTAAAAATCAACCGGCTATAGTTCCACTTGAGAGCATCTGTTTTATTGATGCCCAGTGTGGGTCATTGACAGGGGGCATACCATCCCACTCTCCACCATGTCACCTGAGCTGGGCTTTTATCTTTCCTAGGGACCAGTTGCGGGATGAGGTCTGAGATAGATGTAGATATATTTTGCCAGGAGGTTCCACGGCTATTTGCTGACAACAGGGGCATTTAGCGACTTGAGATTTCAGAGTCCAATGCCATGTTCAGGAGGGGAGTATTTACTGGTGATCATCACTGGTCCCATAACCTTGCAGGCTTCCCTGGTGGGATATAAAGGACATTGGGGGTACATTGCCTGATCTCTGTGTTGATGCCCAGTGCCATGACTGCTGGGAGAGACAAAGTTACAGGGACTTTCTGCTCAGCTCCTGCTTTTCTGGGCTGGAGCATAAAATGTGTTGAAGATAACTGCCAAGCAAAAATAAAGGCTTATGGTGTTTGCCATATTTGGGTGAGCTTTCTCCAGGACAGCCAAAGGCACCTCCCAGACACCAGGTCACCCACCTGCCACATGTCTTTGCCAGGGCCTCTCAACAAAATATTGGAAGAATTTCTTTACCAAGTGTCCAACAATGTGTTGCTCAAGTGTCTGAACCGTTGGATCAGAGACCTTAAAATCTGCCTGAGAGGGGCCTGATGTTTCAACCTAAATTGGTTATGTGGCAAGGCTAAAAGTGTGTGTTCTCTGTTCCAGTCTAAAGTGCACATAGCAGGCACCCTCATCCATCAGAAAATTGCCTACTTTCTTGGGGAGGTGGATCCTTTTAACCCAGGGCTGTCAAACTCATCTGGCGTTGTGGAGCAGAGAAGTGGTGCAGGACTGGTCCGTGGGCTGGCTGAATGGTGTGAGGCTGACCTCGCAAGCTGGGTCAGGCCCACGGACCCCACCACCCTCCATACTGGATCCAGTGTGCGTGGCGCCTGCTCTGGCTGGCCAGGGATGTGAGATGCGTGCAGTATGGTCCCAGACTGCTCAGAGAGGGCTCTGTATCTCCGACGTCCCTGTTCTAGCCCATCTCCACCGCTGTCAGTGCAGTGCTGTTAGCAGCTACGCAAAAGCCTACTCTTAGAGGCAGGGCTCTCTGAGTAGTGGTATAAACAGCCTTAATGAGGTGTCAACTGCAGAGCTCAGGCTCTGAGTAGGGCTATGATGAGTGCTAATGAAGTGTGGGAAGCTGAGACCAGGATGTTCTTGTAGCCTATCAGGTGTGTATCGGCATGGCATCTAACGCTGGGAGCCGGGGGATTTGGTTTCTGCTGTGCTAATAAAGGGAAGCCAGGCAAAGATAAGTAGCGCTATGTATGCTACCCAGCAGTGTCACCACATAGGGGCTTTGATCTCCCTTTTGTAATCATAAATAGAATCGTAGAGGAGGAGGGTGGGAAGGGACCTTCATAGGTCATCTAGTCCAGGAGTGGGCAAACTATGGCCCGCGGGCTAGATCCAGCCTGTCAAGGGATTTCATCTGGCCTGTGGCAGCTGCCACTGCCAGCCTGCCCTGCAGCCACCTCCAGGGGCACCGGATGGAGTGGGTGGGCAGGCAGGCTCTTCCCTGGCCTGGGGCCCCCATGGGCAGGGTGTGCTCAGCCAAGGGGATGGGATGGAGCTGCGAGTGGGCAGGTAGCAGTATCTGGGAGCGGGCTGGGCAGGCTGGGCCGGGGCTAAAACCAGGATCTCAGGGCGGTGACAGCGTGGGGCTGGGGCCAAGTTGCAATCCACTCCCTTCATGTCCTGCCTGCAGAACCAGTGCCCATCTCAGGGACATGCGGGGAGTGGATCGCAGCTCTGCCAGCCCTGCCTGTTCCTGCTACCGCGTGCCGCTCCCTGCCCGCCCACAGCCCCAGCCCGCGCACCCTGCTTGCTCTGTTCAGTGCCCCCGGTGATGGCATGGACAGGCCTGGGGCCAGATAGCATCAATTGCCCCTCCTCCCCCCGGCCACCGCACTGAGCTGGGCCATCACCTGCCCTTCCTCCCACGCAGGCCACAACAGCTCACCAAAACTGCTTAAGGGCCCTCCAGCCCGAATAATCGCTCACCCCAATCCAGTCCAACCCCCTGCCTGAGGCAGGATCATCCCTGTCCAAACCATCCTGTACAAATCCATAATTTAACCTCTTAGTAAAACTACAGTCAACCCTGATGCAGCGCAACACCTGAACCTACCGCAGGGAAAGCAGGGGGACCACGGCAGCCAGCTACCTGCTGCTGCAAAAGGTTGTTAATATATACTCAAGAGATCCCAGGTAGAGGTAGAGCTTTTCGGTGGGCATTTCAGCCTAGTGGTGGTGGCTCAAGCAAAAGGTTGCCTGCTCTAGCCCTTTCCTCTCTGGCTCTGAGTCATGAAGCATCCTGCCGTGTGACTGCCAGACTCTCATTGTATGTTCTCATAATCTGGGAAGTATTTTTATCGCTCGCTTGTTTGTTGCCTGAGACTTCATATGTTCCTGTCCAACAAGAACTCGGCTGTCTCACTTCTTTCCTCATGGCCTCAATCTCTCAGGGAAGTCGAGAAGAGATGCAGGGGAAGCAAGTCTGGTTCTGCGTTAAGGACGATAGAGCTGCAGGATACTCCTATCCAGGTTTTTGCTGCCTGCTGACGGGAGAGAGACAGATGGGGGCTTGCTGTCAGCTTCAGCTTGTGTTCTTGGATCACCTGTCCTATTTGAAGTACTCATGAATAGCTTAATCCTGCTCAGCTTCTGTTCTCACCTGGGCTCCCTGTTACACTCTTAGCAGGCCTGGGAGTGCTAAAACGTTCATTTCTGCCTGTCAGGAACTTGCTGCGGGACTGTTTGGGAGCTGTGTTGCTAAGTGGACAGGTTCACAGGTGCATGGAGGTGCTTTCCAGAGGCACCTGAGCGAGCTTGCAATCCAGATGCGACTCAGCCGGAGTTAGCAATAAAGGGGGGCAGAGGAAGAGACAGGCCAAAGCAAGAGCTGTATTCATTTCCCTTCCATTTTATAGCATGAAATGCTTGGAAACTGAACCCAAATCTTGAGATGTTGGAGATGTTTCCTCTGGCATCTCTAGCCCAGTAAATGGTGGAATCCAGGGAATAAAGGATAGATCACTCTAGAGATATCTGGTCGGATGGTGTCCTTGCAGAGCATCCGCTTCTGCCTCTGTTGGAAGCAGGATACTGGACTAGGTGGAGCACTGGTTTGACCCAGGATGGCACTTATGTTCTTAGAGAGGATGCGATGTTGGATGCACGAATGCAAGATAAGGGGTGTGTGTAGAGGTGGGTGCCTCATTAGGGAAATCCTGACTATCAGCTCATTAATGCAAACTACCTCTTATCTCGGCCTCCAGCCGTTCTGGACAGAAACTCGCATTTCATTCACTCTACTTGGCTTCCTTCTGAGCCTCTGAGGCCCACAAGCATCTCCTTCCCTACTGGAGCTGCTTTCCCTCTTCTGGGCGTAACCAAGTCAAAACGACTTCTTCCCCATCCAGGTTACAGAGCCCCGCCAGCAAGGAGCGGCCATCGGTGCGTAGCAGACAATGCCAACCTGTATGTGTTTGGAGGGTATAATCCAGACTATGATGAGTCTGGAGGGCCGGAGAATGAAGATTACCCACTGTTCAGGGAGCTTTGGCGCTACAACTTTGCCACGGGCACATGGCATCAAATGGGCACAGAAGGCTACATGCCCAGAGAACTCGCCTCCATGTCACGTGAGTACAGGAACGCCATTACCCTGAGGCCAGGTTGTGAATCACTTGCGTGGGGGTGAGGAGTGAAGATGGGGGTTCTGGGCTCCAGTCTGACTCCTTCTGTGTGTCTGCTGACAAATCACTTATTACCCTGGCCCTGTTTTCTCTTTCTCTCTCGCTCATTTTCTTTGGCTCATTTTCTTTTGCTCTCTCCTTCTCTCAGTCTTTCCTTCTCTTCCGCTCTTTCTCTCTCTTTCTCCCTTTCTGTCTGTCTGTCTCTCTCCTCTCTCTCTCTCTCTGTTTACCAGCTCAAACCAGCGTTTTCCAAGTCCAGTCCAGATTTTTCAATAGGGATTTTGGGTGCCGAGCCCGACACCCTGAAAGGCTTTAATTTGTCTCAGAGGGCCAGTGCACAGCCCTTTCTACAAATCAGCCCCTTTTCCAGCATCTCAGGGATCCCAAAGCCTCCCAAATGCACTAGTTGTCTGGAAGTACAGGGCCCTGTTTCCATGGTATCTGAGCACTTAACCTGAACTCACCTTTTGTCCAGAACGGCATGATCCTAATGCCAAGCACGGAGTGCAGCCTATCGAGTGTCACCTGTCTGGCCTCAGTGCTTTAGCAGAGGCAGAGCCACGCAGTCCCTTTCCTTCCTGCAGAGTGGCACGTAGCACTGCACGTAGCCCAGACCTGTGCTTTTTCTTCCCCCCACTTAGTTGTATTGCATGGTAACAACCTGCTGGTGTTTGGCGGCACTGGGATCCCGTTCGGTGAGAGTAACGGCAATGACGTCCATGTCTGCAACGTGAAGTACAAGCGATGGGCCCTGCTCAGCTGTCGAGGGAAGAAACCGAATCGCATATATGGACAGGTACCCAGTGAAACCCTGGCTAGGTGCAGTGCCCAGCTCAGCTCAGCTCTGCTCAGCTTGGAAGATGCATGTGTTCCTAACTCCCTTTTGTCACCCACTTGAGCAGTTCTCAGTGCAATGACAGCTTTAGACACTGGCTGTAATAACAGAACTGTTTTTAATCCACCGGATTTTTTTTCCGTGTTGAAAACTCCTGTTGCAAGGTCGCTAATGAAGCCTTACGTTGATCAGCCCTGTAGCAGTGAATGCATCCTGCACCCTGGGGACAAACAGCTTGACAATTTGTCATGAAAATCCACAAGATTTTCATGTGCCATCCAGCAGCGCTCTACCAATGTTATTAGTAGTGCAGGTAATGGCTGGGCTGGTTTAGTCAGGGATAATCCTGCTTTGAGCAGGAGGCTGGACTGAGTGGCCTCGTGAGGTCCCTTCCACTTCCAGCCCTAATGGGAGCCCCACAAGCTTCTTGCTTGCGCATATGCTCTTTGTCTAGGCTCTGGACTCAAGAGGAGGGGATCCTCAGTGCTTGCTGGGCTTTGTCAGGGGGTGGGAAGCAAAAGTGTCCATCTCTCTTTCTCTCCAACTGCCCCTGATGACTTTTGCTGCTTCCTGCCTGCGCCCATGGCCAAAACCATGGATGGGTGAACCCTTCAGATGCACTTGAGTTATAAAGGCTGTGCAAGACTTGGGGGGCAGGGAGAGGGGAGAAGCAGCCTGTTTACTGTGCACAGCGTTTGCTAATGATCAGATAATCATCTGTTGAGACTTGCCATTCTGGCCACTTATCAGCCGCTCCGGAGGATTGTTAATTGTGCTTTGACTCCTTGGTCCCCGCTGCACTGATTCACCTTTTTCCATCTGGCAGCTCGCATCTCAGGTTTCCTTCTCTGAATCCCTCCCCTGGCAGACCCCATCCCATTTAAGCTGGGCACCTTTCCCTTCAGGCTCTACCCTGTTGCATCCTACTGCATTCCTTATGCACTACGCTCTGCTTTTCCAGGGAATCCCGTCTTGTCTCCCCTTCGCTTGCCTTAGTCTCCCCCTCCTGTAGGCTTGGGATTTCCTTTATTGCAGCAGTCCTGTGCCTTGTAAAAATCCCTGCATCCGTAAAGCCTGCCTAGGCCACCCCACCTTTCACCGAACGCCAACATGACTCTCTCCTTTGGGTCTCCCAGTGCACTGTGAGTGACCTGTTTAACATGTGAACTGCTTCTTGTGGATAATGGGATCTATCGTGTTCAGGGTTTGGTACATTGGTGACCAACTGGGATAGTGTGGAGGAGCTTACCTCTGCTATAAAATGAAAAGGCTTTTCTTAAACAGAGCTCTCCCTTTTGGATTTTGGGGGCTCTGTGTGGGTGTTGCTGTTGACACCTGTGCTGCATTCTCTGCCCATGGAAACTATAAGGGGTACTGAGCACATGACATGCTGGGTTTAGAGACTCTGACCTCTGCCTTTTTCCATGGCACATTGGGGCCCATGTACTTGCCCTTGGGGTGGGGTGGGGGGCCACCTCCTACCTGCTGTTTCATATCTCCTATCTTATTGGAAGTGTCTGCTTGTCCACCTCTGCCAGGACATCACTAGGCTATATGGAGTACCCACCAGCCAAACCTTTCCTCCCTTCACCAGCATCTCTTCTGTGCCAGCATCCTAGAGCAGCGGAATGAGTTGGGGAAGATGGGAAATTTGACTTCCTTGAATACACTGATCTGATGCCTCCTAAGTGGCTTTCCTTTCCTTCCTTCCCAGGCAATGGCCATCATTAATGGATCACTGTATGTCTTTGGAGGAACAACTGGCTATATTTACAGCACGGATCTCCATAAATTAGACCTTAACACCAGGGAATGGATACAACTAAAACCAAACAACATGTCCTGTGACATGCCGGAGGAGAGGTGAGACATGGACTTGTTTTAATGCTTCCTGTGCGGTCTGTGTTCCAAGATCCACATGTTGAATGGATGTTTCCAAGGTTTTGTTTGAAAACTAACCCTGGCTCTCAGCTCTGGCAGCAAATGTGTTGTTTCAAGAGAGCCTTCCCAGTAGGGAACAGGCTGCATTTGTTGGAAGGGAGAGGAACTGAAAGAGCTAAAAGGTCTGTTTATTGGCACCAGTCCCATGAGTGTTGTGAGATTTGAAATTTTCATAGCTAGAGCTCCAGGACCTCCAGCTGTTTGGGTCCCAGCTGGGATAAAGAGAGAAGTCTTATTTAACTAAACTGTGGATTACTAAACAACAGCAGGGATTTGTCCTGGCTGGTGAGGTGCCGGGGGAGGAAATAGCCTATTCCCCAACCAGACTTTATCCCTGTCATGTTCTGTAATGAGGGGCGGGATCGAAGTTCAGTATGGGACCATGCCAGCTTTACACAAGACAGTTGCAACAATACCTTGAGCCCTTTCTAGCTGATCATAAAATCCTAGAGAAGTGGGGCTGGAAGGGACCTCTGGAGGTCCCTTCTAGTCCAACCCCCTGCCTGAGGCAGTATCATCCCTATCCAGACTATTCCATATAAATCCATAATCTAAACTCTACATAAAACTGCTGTCAACCCTGACCCAACATAAACCTAACACAGCAACCTTCCACAGGTAAATAGGGGAACCATGGTAGCCAACGTCCTGCTTCTATGAAATGTTGTCAATATATACTCAAGAGATCCCTGGTAGAGGGCCATGCCCCCAACTACAGAGGAAGGCAACCCCCCATCCCCCCTAGTCCATATCAATCTGACCATGTTGTAAAATGCCTTCCCAACCCCAGACTGGCATCAGTCTGATCCTGAGTGGAGGGGCAAGACCCTCTAGCCAGGAACCTCTGGCTTTAAGTCCCAGCAGGAGCATTGGCACAGCCCAGTCAAAGTCCTCAGTCTTGGCTGCAGCAAACACCCAGTGCCTCTGGGAAAGCTTAATAACACCCTGGCACATGTAGCAGAAACAAGGGCAGAGGCAACCAATGAAACCCAGAAGCATGGAAATACCCATGGTACAACATAGGCATCACTACGCCTAGATCATCCCCAGCTGTCCAACCTCTTGAACACTTTCAGTGATGGAGAGTCCACAGCTTCCCTAGGTTGTCTATTCTGTTGCCTCACTTCCAATTAGTTCAAGATGAAAACCAGGTAAATTAACAAACAGGATTATATGACGTGGTTGCCTATGGCATTAGGATGTTCCCTCCAGTCCCATGTTCCTACTTTGATGACTTGTGGCTGATTTAACACATCATGGTCCTCTTTAACTTATTCTCCTAGAGGGTGTGACCTGTGAATTTTGCAGTTTCTCCCTCTGCTTGATGAGTGCTTTCAAACTCCTGACTTGGGAGGCTAATTTTTAGGATCTCAGAGCTCAGGAGTATCAGCCTAAACCCCTGAAGCTAATCACTTTCCAGAATACTTCTTAGTAATTTGCTTGCATTAACATCCTGTGGTACTAAGTGTCTCTGGCTTTGCATCCTCAGGTATAGACATGAAATCGCACATGATGGCCAAAGAATTTATATCTTGGGAGGTGGAACTTCCTGGACAGCTTATTCCTTAGATAAGGTAAAGAGATTTGGACATATTGCAATGCAAGGGATGGTGCAGGACAGGACACAACCAGCCCCGTTTCCTTTGCCAACATGGTATCCGAGTCTGCTTGGGGAAGTTGATTGGAATTGGGTGATCAGAAGAGCGTATTACAAAAGCCTACTTGTTACAAGCTCACGTGGTTCCTCGGTGACCACTGCTTTCTCCTAGAGAAACTTATTTCTGGTGGCCCCAGTGACAGAAATCAGCTTCTCAACATAACTAAAAGAAAAGATTATTTTCCTCAGGGCATCTCTGCGGGTGCACCATCTGTGTGAATTGCCAAGAAAGGGAATTTAATGGAATTGGGTTTCCAGTGTCTGTGGGTTTTGTCTCCTACCCCCTTAAAATATATATATTTTTATAGTCAAGGTTTCCTTTCGTTGGGGGAAGGAAATCAATTTTTAGATGCCAAAATAGTAAAGAAAAGGGCTTGAAATGATGCTGCCTATTAAAAAAGAAAAGTCTAACACCACTCAAACCTGTTCTTAACACTCTGGTCTTTACGTTATGTATCTCTTTCCCCAAATAAAATCTTGCTTTCTAACTATTGTTGAGGGCTGGAGAGGGGATCGTTTGTTTTATTTTTAAAACAAGACTTGTATGAACAGACTGGGTGTGCTTTTTCCCTTCAGCTGTGGGATGCTAACAGTAGTTTTCAGTGTAACCATTATAGGTTGGAAGGTGGTTTTCTGATGATGTGGGCAACGGTTTGATATCTTGGTCTTTTGTCCAAGCACAAGGCAGGGTTTGTTTTTTATAAGGGCCCCCTCAACTCTGCCCAACGGCGATGAGATCAAAGGGGGCTCAGAACCAGGCCAGCATCTCTTCCTGTTGGTCACCGCCATACCTGGTACAGTAAGAGCTGGCAGGGCTAATGCGTCCCCTCTGTCCCTCTTAGATCCATGCGTACAACCTTGAAACAAACACCTGGGAGGAAATTGCAACAAAACCCCATGAAAAAATAGGTGAGTTTGGAATTGCACAATGCTTCCACTCCTATAAAAACCCAGGCAGCAGGTAAGATTGCGTCCTATCAAGAGACAAGGCCAGGATGCTTTAAAGCCTTCTTAATACCTGCTGTGTGCTAGAAGGCCTGCACTGCTTGAGAAACCCAGCTGGTTTGACCCCAACAGCTACAAATAAACTGTATCAGACAGATTAGTAGTTTAACATCTCACCTTTTTCAAATTGACAGCTTTGTCACGGTCAGACCCTCCCTGGGGAGCGAGTTGGACATGTCTGTCACTTCCTAATTCCCTTCAGAACAGTCAGACTATTAGTTACTAGGGAAGCCTGCAGAGTAAGGGTAAGGAGCTGTGTTATCCTGTAGTGGCCCAAACTGAGATGTGGTTCTGTGAGGCCCCCTTCTCCCCTATCATTAGAGTGTAGGAGGTTTTTTGGTGAAATCATTTTATTGGATCAACTGTATAATTGGGAGAAAAAACCCTTACTTCTCACGTATTCCCTGTACCATTGAGGTTACAACAACACTTCAACTCTAGCATGCAGATCAGAGTTAAAATTTAATTATGTTGACTCTTGGGAAAGAAGGAGAGTTACAATTACTCAGATCTAGTGGAGGAAAAAACCGCGTTCTGAACTGGCTAATTGCTTGAGCCTGTTGAACACGGTGGGATATAAGTCAAATAAATAAGTGACTTTAGATGGTGTGATCATAATTTTAATTACGGGATCATTTTCTCTGAAAGAAAAAGTAGAATTATTCTTCAACTGGCTTGTGTCCTGACTGGCCCTTGAGTGTTTTAACTGAGTATCACAATTATCAGATGGAATTGATGCAAACCAATTCTGTTTTTTTTGTTTTTTTTTTAAGGTTTCCCAGCAGCTAGAAGATGCCACAGTTGTGTACAAATAAAAAATGGTAAGGACAGCAGTGGGATCTGCCTTCTGAAGCCACATGTACATTGAGCACATATGCCAGTAGTGGTGTGAAATAGCACAAGGGTCCAGGCTCCCTGGCAGGTGATCCAAAGAGCTGCGTTTTGGATTTTAATCTGTTCAGCTGCAAATGAAGGAACAATCCCACAAGTTACTTGGCATCCTTCACTCACACTGTCTTCAGTGGAGTTGAGGATGTAGCACCTTGTGGGATTAGTCCCCACGTCTTATCAGCCAGCTCAGAGGAGGATGAAACCTTTATGGGCCACATTGCTGAAACCAGCTGCTTTAAGCAGGAGTCTGCAATACCCATAGCAGCTGAACTGCCCTAAAAGTTGAGCTGTTCTCTGAACTGTCCTTGTGCCGATGGGACAAGAAGTAAGGAACACATCATCTTGTTCCAGCCAGGGGTTGGTAACCTTTCAGCAGGCCGAATTAACACTGCTCTGTGCTCTTCAGGTCAGAAGTGGGCACTAGATGGTGTATTCTTGTGCAGATGTGCTTGGCTGGCTGTAGTTTGCCAACTCCAGTTTTACACCATCAGGTTTCTGGAACACACAGGACTTCATTTGCTGCGTTATTCTAGAAAATCCTGAATTAACATGAGGCCATGGGCATGTGACAACACACCAACATAAGAAGGGTGTGGGCCCGTGATTATAGTCATAGAAAATTCAGGTTGGCAGGGACATCAGGAGGTCACATTTAGTCCAACCCCCTGCTCAGAGCAGGACCAGCCCCAGCTACATCATCCCAGCCAAGGCTTTGTCTAGCTGGGTCTTCCAAAACCTTCAAGATTGGAGACTCCATCACCTCTCTGGGTAACCTGTTCCGGTGCTTCACCACCCTCCTAGTGAGAGAGTTTTTCCTAATATCCAACCTAAACTTCCCTTGCTGCAACTTGAGACTGTGTTTCTCCTTGTTCTGTCATCTCTCACCACTGAGAACATGATCCCTTACTCCAGTATGACTGGCTTGAATATGTTATAGGATGACCATGAGGAAAAATCAACGGTAAAATGATACCAGTGCACCTGTGTGTGTGTGTCGTGTCTGTGGCTAATCCTTGCCTAGTTGTTCATTCAGGGCAAATTAGTTGGGTCCTGTTCTCCGGTCCCCTAGTGGCAAGGTGCAGGGTCCCAGGGATAGATGCTCCTGTCTGCTCTGGATCACCTTCTAATTTACATCTATGTGCTAAACCAATGCAAGTCAGACCGGTTAAAAAGTGTTGTATAATTGCAGCTGTATAACCAACTGTCTGAAATGATTTATGCTTGAACATGCAGTCACCTCGATGTAGAACAACACATGTCCGCCATGAATGCACTTCACAATCTAGCCAGCATATGCACAAATGACTTCCCTCCTTCACACCTGTCATTGATCAGTCAGCTTTACTGCCTGCTACATGAAAGGAGGCAGAGCCAGTGCTTTGCACTGGAAATGTTTTGGAAGCAGTGTCATTGGGGATTATCTGTGCAGGAGGCTTGTCCTGGTGGTGTACGGATCTCGGAGCTGCATGTGACTTGGATCCAGAGGCAGGAGCACAGCTGCTCTTGGGAAGCGTGTGTGTGTGTGCGCGCGCACGCGCGCATGTGTGTAGACATATTGCTGTCTCCTTCCTGCCTTCTTCAAATTATCTTGCTACACATCTCTTTCTTGGATCCACTGCACAGTGTGAAATGCATCTCAGGGGCAGAGGGCAGCATATGTAAAACGCATACTAATTTAAGCGTGACTGTCTCTTAAAAAGGAGGAACACTAAACATGGCTGCTATGTTCCCACTTCCCAGTGAGGGGAGGTGGTTCAAAGTACTCAGGTGTTTGTCACTGCTGGATCGCCATATGGATTTTTATGAAGGCTTAAATGGTCTGTACATATAAGAGTGGGGGATGAGTCCTTGTGAGTTAGCCCATACCATGGTGAGAATTTAAGAAACTGTTCTCGCATTGGTCTAAAAGGGGCATTTATTTTAATCCTGACTTTTCTAGAACAGCTTTAGTAACAGGACGTGCTATAGCTCTTAGATGAGCTGGCGATAGCTACTCCCTCTGGGTTAGTCTTTTAAACACTACGGGTTTGTTGTCCCTTCTTACAGACGTGTTCGTCTGTGGCGGCTACAATGGAGAAGTGATCTTGGGAGACATCTGGAAGCTGAACTTGCAGACGTTCCAGTGGGTGAAGCTCCCAGCTGTCATGCCCGAACCAGTCTATTTTCACTGCGCTGCCGTTACGCCAGTAAGTCTTCTGGTCTCTCTCTTCCCAAACTAGACCTAGATTAACTCATTCACTGAACTGTTCTGCAGTCCACGTGAACCAGGTGCATTTGGCAGCCTGGACAGGATTATGGCTTTAGGCTGCAGGGTGTTGAGCAGTTGATCTCAATGTGGAAATGATTCAGCAGGTGGTGGAGACTGAGGCCAGGCACAAACCATTGCTTTCTGAGCTCCCTTTTTTGCTGACATTATACCTGAAGCACAGCAGTCACTGGCTGTCACAGCATATGGCCTGCAATACTGAGAGCAGGGGGCTCTTCTTGCTGTCAGACTAGATAAGAATTCTTATGTGAGCCTCAGGCATCTAGTATTAAACAAGAAAACCAATCCTGTTGCTAAGGCCTCTCCCTGGAGAGAGATCACGGATTTGAAGAGTTAGGTTAATGTTGTCTTGATGGTACATTCACTGTGCTCTGGAAGCAGGCTGTACAAAGCAGGCTCCAAGCTTACCGAGTTTAGCAGGCATGATGGGGGTCAGCCATAGGATCTGTAGCATAACCATCTACTTCGTGGTCTTGGAAAATAAGGTTGGATGGGTCCTCAGAAGGTCATCTTGCCCTCCACATCCCCTGCTCAACACAGGACCATCCTTGTTTGAATTACTGGAGACAAGGATTGGTCTAACCAGCACTAAACAGCATGCGGGGATGGAGAGTCCACAGCTTCTCTAGGGAAGCTGCTCCTGGGTTTAACCATCATTGCAGTTAGAAAGTCCTTCTAGAAATCTGAGGGACTCCAGTGGGACACTTGAGATTAAGGATTGTGGGCTATGTGTAATCCCGGGGTGGTTATTACAGGGTTGTAATCCCTGTTTGTAATCCCATGCACTGCCATTACAAGGGTTGTCATTTAAATTGTTCTTTTATGTCAGCTGTATTCCTGGGAGAGAAAGTTGTGGTCCCTCCACTGGCTGATCAGTAGCACAGCACATCATTGTAACAAACTCAGAATGACTCCTTGGCTAGGGACGGAAATGACACACAAACCGGTATAAGTGGTCGGAAGCCAGTTCAAATCTGTAACGTAACAGAAGTTCAGTGCACAGGAACCGCTTTCAAAAGGCCAAAACCGGTTTAAGATAAACCTGATGGATGTAGTATCAGACTTAACTGATTTAGGTTAAATTGCTGTATTGACTTCTGTCTCAGATCCCCTCCAGTTTCAAGTTAAGCCAGTCCCCCAGCATCCCAGGATGCTTTACATTTCCCCCACAAACCCTGGCAGCAGTGCTCTTCCGAGAAGGGCTTGCTCTTCCAAAGTGCAGCCCCAGCCCTCAACCCACTGTGTATTTAGCTCCTTACATGACCTGGAGTAACACCCTTCTTGCCCTGTTCCTCAATAGGCTGGCTGCATGTACGTCCACGGCGGGGTAGTCAACATCCACGAGAACAAACGGACTGGCTCCTTATTTAAGATGTGGCTGGTAGTACCCAGTCTGCTGGAACTGTCATGGGAAAAGCTGCTGGGCTACTTCCCTCATCTAGCAAAGCTCTCCAGGTCTCAGCTCTTGCACCTGGGACTCACACAGGGACTCATTGAGCGGTTGAAATGAGACCTCCTTGCTTGTTCGCCCTCTGCCCTAGAAACACTACGAGAGAGAGGCCGTTCCCCTCCCCTCTCTATTTATGGGTACCACAGATGAAGACGGGCCAAGAAGACGGGAGGACGTGCTTGATGCTTCGCTCGGCAAATCTCTCGGATGCCTCGTCTGCAAACTCTTATTTTAAGTGGATGGAAACCGGCCTTTTATTTATGGATCTGTATAAATCCACCAGGAATGAAGATGCTTTGCCCGATTCATTCGTCGTGTTGCAACCACTAGGATGCTCTTTGCATAACGCTTGTAGCCTCGTCGGGGGTGGGGGAGGGGCTTAGGAAACGCCGCGGCTTACGCTTACCCATGGTGTTTTTAAACTTATTGTTTCTTGAGACATATTTAACCAAGCAGAGGACAGGAACCGCTGCAGCGCAACCGCATCCTGAAGGAACAGTCGCAGTCCGTGCCCTTGGCTTCTGGCAGCATTCGGCCTCCTGATACCCGAACTGGCCTTGCCTCTGCAAAATGTCCACCCCCCTCCTCCCCAAAGACTTGCATGTGTTAGAGGCACGTCCTCATCCTCTTCTGAGTTCTAGGAGATGGCTGGAGCATTGCAGTAGAGGCAGGGAACGGAGATCGTCCACACTGCTTTTGAACTCCCACTGCTGTTTGTAGTGGCGTTGAGGAAGGGTAATTGCTCCTTGTCTTTTCATGTTGAAACATCTGCTTAGCAGGGAGTGGGGAAGCTAGAGATTTCTGCTCGTGCAGATGACTGCAAAGTTCTCTCGCTGGGTGGGAAGGGATGGCGCGTTCTTAGGAAACTTAACCGTATGGATTTTAACACCCATGTAACCTAAGTGTTTTCCTGCCCTTGGTGGCCAGGACATGGTCCAGCTGTGCCAACTTTGCATCAGTTGCCTGTCTTTTCCCCTTCAGCATTGGATTTTTCTCTCAGTAGCTTGGCAGTTGCCTGTTTTACTCATCTGTGGGTTTTTGATGACCCGCTCCCGTGGATGTCCATTTTCTGAAGAGCTAGGAAATCAGTGCATCTGCCTTCCCGGGAAATGTAATGCTGTTTTCAAAATTGGTGGGGAGACATATTGTTTGTCCTTTGCTGTGAATCGTGTTTGCCTTCCTCCAAATGCAGGAAAGGAAGAAACGTCGCACTTCTGGGTCTCTTGTTCCGACCTCACCGTGGAACCTGGCTCTAGAGAATGCAAACGCCCGGCCCTCGAAACTGGAGCACCTGAGTTTGGCGGATCCTGGGTTTGAACAAAACAATTTTCGACCATTTTTAAGTGCCTTTTTAATTAGCTTTCCCAAATAACTCCCTGCCACCCACCCCTTCCCTCCCCCTGAGAGTGGAATGGGGCGCTTTTATATTTTCCTTTTAAGATGTTACTGTAGAGGCAAATAAATCGTAGTAGCAAATTCATACAGTTGATCTGCATCAGGCTCGCAGCTTTGCTCATTAGGGGTCACTTATTGCCCGGCATGCCAGAGGTACCAAGCTCTTTCCCATGGTCAGTTTTAAATATATAATATAGCTTCTTCTTTCCAAGGCAAAACAAAGGATGGCTCCTTTTCAACCGCGTTGTCCTTTGGGCCCTTGCAACTCCAAAGCCTGCTGCTGCTTGCTCTTTGTTTTTGTGTTGTCCCTGTCCCTTCCATTATACTAGCAAGGAAAAGTTCAGTGCCACTTGAAGGCTGCTCAGCCATGACAGGCTTGATGTCTCCCATGTGCTTCTCACCTGTGGTGATGGTGGACCGTGCTAGTGTTGTGTGACGATGACGATCGGCATTTAGACCCACAATGTTTCCACGTTTCTTTCTTGCCGCCTCTGTTCAGCGGTGAGAGGAGGCCCTCAGTGGGCAGTTTTCGTGGGTGGAGGGCACATCTGCATGGCTGCTTCTTTACATTTTCTAGCCTCTCTCCTGGTTCTGATCTAAGCTACAGCATCCGAAGTGTCTGCCAGATGCTGCTGATGTCTGCTGAGAGTGTGTGTACAGCTAGGAGTCAGGTGAGCCCTCAGTTCCTGAGCTTCTGGTGGGTTTTCTAACGAGCAAGTCTGCTCACTGTGTGTAGCGTGATCCTCAGGCTGGAGAGCTAGAGAGACGCTTAGCTGCTCTCAGCCATCCGATGGTTCCCTGTTGGCCTTAATCTAATGGCTACCGTCTTTTCTCTTGGTGCAACGTCCACGCTGAACCTGTGCCTTTTGGCCTAACCTTGCATGAGTGGCTGACTTACAAAAGTGCAGCCTCTTCCTTCCCGCATCCCCTTGCTGCTCAAGTGCTGGGCTGCATCTTTTGGGGATAAATGGTGAGGAGGAGCTCTACATCAGTGCTCGCCTGCTCAAATCTCTTCTTGGCTTAAGTGGCCTCTTGGGCACTCTCTAGGTTGGAATTCATTCATTCCAGTGTTTGCAAGGGGGGTCATTCATGCCTTGATCCTTCAGGCAACACATTTGTGCGGCCTTGCAAAAGCCTTTGCTGCCAGCGCCTGTGCCCTACTGTAAGCACGATGCCTTCACCGTGTCCAGGTGGAGTGTGAAACATGGCTTTATGTTGAAGTGGGTTGGAAGTCCTCGCTGCCCCTTGGATGCACAGTTAGGTTCATTAAGTGCTCCTGCACTAGCACACGGGGGCCAGTCCTGCTAACGGCCGAGTGTCTGTCCCTTCCAGAGACTTCAGCGGAAACTGAGTGTGCTCAGCCACTCCAGGATTGAACTGGTTTCATCCTCTCCTTCATCAGCTGTGTCTGCTCGCCTTACACTTTGGTCGCTCTCCCTGCATCTCCTCAGCCCTCGGATCAAGTGAAGCAGGAACGATTCTGCACGTGAAAACAAACTTGTCTCTGAGTTGGTGAAATCAAGGAACTGGCCCCCTGAGCTGTGCTATCTTGTGTTACCGAGCTCTGGGACACGCTGTGGACAGCAGTGGGATTACCTCACTGCTGTCCCACTTCTGAGGGAGAAGAAAAGGCAAGAGAATGGCTCAGATGAGCTGCTTTTGTCTCTCTGATAAAAGGGGACTTGTGGAAAATCAAGCTCCTGGCAGGGAAACCTCTCCCGGTTGTAACGGTTAATGGCTGAAATACCAGTCTGTCTCCAAGAGCTCCAGCAGCGTTCCCTCCCACCCCCGTTACCCGTATGATTCTTTACCGGGGCATCTCGGGATTCAACATGGCCGCTTGCCCGATTTGGCGTCCAGCAAGCTTTAATCATAATCCCAAGACTAAACATCAAATATCACTATATATATGTGATCTGACAGGCAGCATAAGAGCTTCATAGTGATCGTCTTCAGTTGGCCACCCCTCTGATCCTTCGTGGGGTGTGTGATATTCTTGGGTGTCTTCTGACCCAATTTCAATGGGCAGAAAACATCTGTTTGCTTCTACCAGTTCTTTTCCCTGCTCCGGCTCCCCGTGGCCTCTCAGCACGCAGCTTTTTTGGAGAGGTGAGGCGTGTGTTTAAACAGCAAAGCCTCCCTGCATGCAGGCTGGCTTAGGAAGAGAGGATGCCCTGAATTCACATCAGCAGTTGGCTCCCTGGGTCGCTGTTCTTCCACTCCGCTGCCCCTGTTACAAGGAAAACAGAGGCTTGAACTCTCCGGCTTCATGGCTGAACAAACTTTCTCGACTCCGTTTGGAAATTGTGCCTCTCTGGCTCATAGCACCTCTTTTGAGGACCCACCTGCTGCTGCTGGTCACAGAACTGCTTTCGGATACGTGTGGGGTATCCGATGAAAGGCGGAGCAGTGAGTCTCGTCGCCTTAGGGAAGAGACTGATGCCGAAGGCTGCGGGCTCCGCAGGCTGGGCGTCGCACAGAGGGGGGCTCACGTCACCGCTACATGCTGCGGAGAACAGCCTAAGCTTTACCTCTCCTTCCTAGGGAAGTGCCTTTCCCCATCTTGTTGTTTCAGAGCCTGGTTTTGCTACTGCTGGGAGGTGTAATCTCAGCAGATGAGTTGGCTCCTTACCAATTTCAGCTTCTGGCAGCACATCGCCGAGAGGCTCCTTAGCTTTGCTATTGCTGAAGAAAACAATATCACATCTCTTCTTTCCCCCTCACCTTCTCTGAGGTGCTAAGTAACGACTGCAGCATTTTGCCTTTTTTGGTGACTAAATTAATTCTGCAAGAAATGGTGCTGGAGCGACAGCATGGCCAGCCTGTTCTCAGAGCCGTCTCCCCATGCCCTGTACACCCTGCCGGGGGCTCCCTGGGGACCAGGGAGCAATGCCTTGCGCGTGTCATCCCTTCAGACTCCAGCCGGGTGGTTTCAGATCCATCGCAGATCCACTAGCAGCTGTTCCTTTGCTCCTCATGCCGGTGCCCTCAAGTCACTGTGCTGAACGGGGAGGGCAGTCATCTCGTGTGCAGCTGTGAAGGGATCACTGTACCAACCCAAATGCCCTTTTCCTGCCTAAGTTCAGAGCAGCAGCCGATTCAAATCTCACCTCTGACTCTGCCCTGTGGATGAAACGTCCCAGCCACTTCTAGCCCTTTCAAGGGCTGGTCACCATATATTGACCCTCTAATGTGAATATGGTTCATGGGTGAGGCAAGAACAGCTCAGCTTGGTGTCAGGGTGCTTCCCAGACCCAAGTTCAGGTCCTCTGCTGCAGCATTCGGTCTAGTCCCTGGAAGCCGCGGGCAGATGCACGGGACAACGCTCTAGTGCTATTCACGTAGGGATACAAAGTCCGAGCAGAAGCTTGCTTGGATAATAGGAAAAGCCTGCTCTGCGAGTGCCCTTTTTTTAGGAGGTGGGGAGGGGGTGGGGCGAAACTCCATGCTTGCCTTACTTTCGGTCCATAAGTCACGTCCTGTGCACATGCGTGGTGTGGGAGTCTGTGCATGCTGTCGCTGGTGGATGTCCTTTCTCGATCTGCCTCTCTCTCTCTCTCTTTTTGTGCGACTGAATCCTGTGTGGAGCCGTGCAGGGGTGGGCGGAGGGCTGTGAGCTGCACGGATGTGCTGGCCTGTATTTATGTACCTTGTCAGTGTTTTTGGCTGTTCCCCCTTTTTTTTTGTTTTTTTGTTTTTGTTTTTTTTAAAGCTCTGATGAATAAACCTGTCCAGATCACGTACCTTGTTTCTGCACCTCTTCCCTTGCCTCTGGTCCTTTGTGGTGTGGAGGTTTGGTCTCTACCAAGGCTGTTGGTCAACCCAGCAGCCTCATAGGAACAGAGCAGCTGTGTTTAATGAGAAGAGGAAGTTTCTAAACCCACTTACGGAGTGATACAGAAGCCCACAGCTGCCAGATCGCACCTGAGCAAGTATTATAAGATGGTAGCATTGGAAGGGACCCTGCCATCCCCTTACAGGTGACCCAGGAGGTCACCTGTAAGCCAACCTACTGCTAAGGACCAGATCATCCCTAATTAAACCATCCCAGCCTTGTGTCTGTCCAATGTGCTCTTAAACACATCCAAGGATGGCGATTCCACAGCCTCTCCAGGTGGTCTGTTCAAATGCCTGACCACCCTCATAGTGAGAAACTTCTTCCTAATCTGCAGCTAGAAGAGCTGAGTATGCGAGGGCCTCCTTGGAAAGAGCTGTCACCTGAAATGCATAAAACTTTCCACATGCCCATCATCTTAAGCCTCCCTGGCAAAAATAGAAGTCGGTGCCTATGTCTCCAACTAAGTTTCGCCTGGTACTGTTTAAGACCATTGCTCCTCGTCTGTCCCCTGCGGCTACTGAGAGAATACTGCCTTTTCTCATTCCCACACCCCCCAAATAAGACGTGCACCTTGTTTTTGGGAAGATGGATGAAAGAACAAGAACTAAGCTCTTGGCTGCTTAGCAAAAAGCTGAAACTGCAACTGCTGCTGAAGACTGGACTCCATGGATGGAGCTAGGATTTTGAGATGAGCTAAAACTAGTTACTAGGATTGTGAAAGAGGAGGAGACACGGGGTAGATAACAGAGCAAAATTGCTGGAAAAAGGATAGTTTGATTAGGTAGGTTACCACCACCTCTGGAGTGAAGAACAAGTAGCAGGATTCAGGTAGATTATAATGAGTCATGATGCTAATTGACTCTCAAAACTACATGGATAAGAATGCCACTGTTGTTGCTAGTAGTTTTTAAAGTAAGTGATCATACCCCTGTACCCCACCCTTGCTCTAGCCCTGTTCAACTCGGTCCCTCCCTCCATGTAGCTGCTGGAGGGAAGAGGAGAGAAAGCAGCAGCAGGCATCTTGCAGTGTCTCCATGCTTCTATTCCGAGTAGAAAATTCAGCTTCCTGGTTTGAGAGAGAAGCCCTGTTCTGGAAGGCTATTTTTTGGGAGAAAGCTGTGTGGTATGCAAATAAACACAGGTAGCCCATCTTCAACCACCACATTACTGCCGAGGGAGCAAGCAGTTCTCACACCTCCAATGCTCCTGTAAGTCCATAAGGGAAACAGGCAAAGCTTGTTAGTCTGGCTTGGG